CCTATAATTGTATATATATGTATGACATACATACATATATTTCTAAGAATAAGGGTCCTATAGTATATGTGTATTATTCAATATTTCTAATAATATTTCATTAATAACACACCCCTTTAAATATATTGATATTATAAATAATATATCACATATGAAAAAATAAAATGAAAAAAATAAGTAAATTTAATAAAAACCTTGAATCCTTGAATATCAAAAGTTTTCTTATTTACAAAAAAAAAACCAAAGCAAAACAAAACGAAAATGTAAAAATATTTTCAATTTTTCATTTTGTAAGGATGATCTTTAAATTTACAAAAAAATATATATATTTTTATTTTATATGTACATACCTATATATAAAATAAAATACAAAAACTATAAATACAAAAGTAAAAAGTAAAATAAAGTAATAAAAAATAACATTTCTTCACCTGCCGACAATAACAATCATCGCAAATGTAATGCTATTGTAATTTTTCATAAAAATATATATATATATACATACATACATGGTGTGTGGTGTTTGCGAATCATTGAAAAGAAAAATGAAACCAATAATATCTAAAGTGTCGCACAAGAATAACAACAGAGCAGAACAATAAATAGTGGCATCAAATAAATATTAAATAATTTTTATATAAATTTATTTATTCAAATTAGTTTTCGAAACGCAATTTGAACAAAAAAAAAAAAAAAAGAAAATTTGCATTCAAAATTTCATGAATAAAATTATTATCGCAAAGCTTGCATAAAAAAGTTATCATTACTATAACTGTGACTTTTGATTTGAATTAATTTGCTCTCTAAGTTCCATTTAATTTTATAAATTCTCAAAATACAAATTGCCAAAATCTCTTTTTTTAAACAAAAATTATAAAAATCAACTGCACATTTCTATAATTCTTCGCATAATTGAATATATTTTTAAATTAAATGTAAATCAATGTTTGTTATTTTGCACACCCAAGTTTTCTAAGAAAATATAGGATTTACTAACTTGTTGTAGAACATCAATATAAATATTCTACATTATCCTTCAGTCTAAATATGCTCAAGCATATCTCTCTATTGTACCTCAAGCTTATGTACTTCGGAAGTTTATTTGTAATTTCTTTCTCTTTAATTATTTAAAATTTTATTTCTTTTGCAACTGTATAGGCTTTTATTATTCGTCTGAATATATGAAGTTAAAAATTGTCGGGTTCTTTACTATGTAATTCGATTTTTGTGAACCGACTTTGGCAATCAATTTGTATATACGTCTGTGAATCGTTTCACGAAAATCGAATAACATAGTATAAGCCCCAAAAAAGAAAAGGTATTGAAATATTCTTGACAATTTAATTTTCCCAAAGTTTTTCAAGCTGTCAACATTAAAAATTTAATAAGATTTGATTTTGTTTCAACGTTTTGCTTTTGTTTTCCCTCTATTTTATTTTACTTGTTGTGTACAACCAAATGTATGTGTTCGTTTTCCATCTGATTTATTTATCGACCGCATTGTATTGTATTCAATGAAGTAGGCTATTTTAAGTTTGTATGTGTTTTTAATTTCATTCTCTTTTTTGTGTTATTAGTCACCATTGTTTTCATGTCGTATTTTATTTTACATTGAATTGAAAAAAAATTTAATTTTATATTTAAATTACAAATGTTGTTGTGTAATTAAAATTAAACGAATTAGTCACATAAGGAAATCGTTATAAAATACTTGTAAAATACTTACTTCTACAATGTTATAAAATAATATTATAATAAATTAGAAAAATTACGTGAAAACGAATAATTAATTTCATTTTGTATAACATTAAATAATAAATTTTCGTACACAAACGCTTAACGCTGGTATTTACGCCTGAAACTATTCAGTTTAAAATAATTTTATTGAATTAAATAGTTAATCATGAATAAAAACTGTAGAAATCAAAATTATAATTTTGGCCCTTTTACTAATACTGCATTGCGTAACTTTAATATACTCGTTTTAAGTACATAAATATTATGTAGATAGTAGAAAAATATAAGGTGCCAAAAATTCAAATTTCACAAATTTCGAGACGCAGTATAACTCTAGATGGGGTGGAAGTCTCTAATAAACTCATTAATAACCTGTAGACTAGAAAAAAAAGATATCAAAAATTTGGAAACAACGAATATTTGATAACAGTAACGGCCATTTTGTTTCTTTAAAGTTTAAATGTAGTATGCCACAGTAAAAAAAGTCAACCATTACTTTTTTGCGTTTGCAAAATTTCACAAGTGCCTCTGGTTTCGGCGAAATAAATAGTTGCAAAATGGAATGTTTCGGTTTTTGGGGGACTAGGACATTTAGAGGGAGAGAGATAGATTAAAATTTTCTTCAACAGAAATAAATTTCTAGTTGACATCTACGTAAATATGAAATTTCAGCTTTCTATCTTCAAGGGTGTAGAAGTTTTGTAAATATGTATACGTACGAATGGTGCGAGTGATACTAACAAGCACTGCACTTTTTTCAAAAATTTTTTTGGAAAACTGCTAAAAGTTGTGTATGTAAAGAAAAATCAGTGAAAATTGATTTTAATTAAATTTGGTATAATATTAACTGATCAGATTGCTAAGGAAAATTTTTTTTTTTTGCAAAATTTTACAAAAATTTTTATTTTAAACGTGCTTTCCTGATGGTTAATTTAATTTTTATACTTTCCAACCTAAGAAGGTCACTGTATTTACTTTACACTTTTATAACAGTTAAAATATTTTGCTAATTTGATAAATGTTAATTAGGTTGTATTTATCAAGGACCTTATTGTGTAATTCGGTTTTCGTGAAACGATTTTCCTATTCGCAAAAATGGTGAGGTAGCACCAATCAATTTATATGATTCTACCTTTCCATTTCTGTAATGCTGATTCAGGAAAATATCAAGGCATTGATATAAAAATTTCAAATCCTCTATTGCATATATATCATATTAGGTAGAGTTTCAATGAAAAATTGTGCAACAATCTCACAAATTGTCTGTATAAAAACTTCAGGATCCTGTTGTTTGTTTTTTCTTAGCTTGACCAAAATGCTACCACAAAATTGTGTGCATAAAATACTTTTAACTAATAGGTTTTTACTCATAATCTTGAGGATTCTTCAATTTTTATTAGAGTAGGCGTTAGAGAAGATTATAAGAGGAAAATAAAAATAAAAACTTTAAATATAAAAAATGAGATACTTTTTCATAATCCAGGAAAAGAAAAGGAAAAACTTTTATTAGTTTTATAAAGAATACACATAAAAATACATAAGGATTTCTATATTTTTTCAATGAATTTATTATTCATAAAAAGATAAGAGGTATTTATCTTTAAGAATAATAGGAAAATAAGAATAATAATTGGAATGTAGCAGTTTCACATAATAGAAAAATTTACAGGGTTTATCAAATTGCTGTAGACAGCGCAATGTTGCTAACTAAATTTACAGATAATTTGTTCAAATATAAAAAAAAGTAATAAATTGTACGACAATGAAAAAAATTACAAATTCAGGTTCATATTTCAATGTTCGGTTCTTTATATCAAATTAACGTTTACTATTTTTGATCTATTTTTGATCTACTTTTGTTATGATTTCACTGGCATACTACTAGTTTATGACATTTTCATGAATGAAAATCTTAATGGAAGATTTTTATAAATATGGCAATGATTTTGTGATTTGAACAATGTTCAATTCGATAGGCCTTGGTACAAGCATATCCATTTGATATAATAAAAAGTAAGAAACAATTTTAAAGGTACTCGTAAACAATCGTACAAATACCCGTATTTCAATGAATGCATTATAGTGTATACATAAATGTAGATTTCATTAGAAAGAGGGTCACCATTTTATAACATTTTATTTTTAAATGTTACGTTTTAAAAATATTTTGGTAGGTAAGTAAGGTGTACAAACAGGATAAAGTAGAACTGCACAATAAAGAAAAAATTAGATTCGGCGCTTTTCTTTTTCTTTAGTTGCAAAAGATTTCAAATATATTATTCTGTGGAGAGCAATTGATGAACAAGGAAAGGATAAAAACAAAGAAAAAACAAAAGTTTAATTTATTTTGTGTTTTTTGTAAGATTTATTGAACTTTCCATAAATAATAATTGAATAGTTAAATTTATTTCCAATTCTAAATATGGCAATTTATTTTATTTTATGGGATATTTTCTTGTAATTTTTTGGATTTCTTAAAGTTACAGTTAATTTTTTAAATTAAGCGCAACAGTAAAAAAAAAACTCTTGTGCAGGTGGACACATTTTCTAACATGTTCTATTGTTTAGCAACAGGCAACTTATAAGATTTAATTTAAAATCGATTTAATTTATTTAAATAAAAGCCAAGCCAATTTCGGTTCTACGAACGCAATTTTTCGGGAAATAACAATATTAAGTAAACTGTACAATGATTATTGAGTACATTGGTCAGCTGCTTAGACAATATTCAAATGACAATTACTTTAGAATATAATTTGATAACGACCTAGACAACATGATATTTATAAAAAAAACTAACGACTTTCTCTTTATAACATGTACTTTAGTCTTTAATATATTATTAATGCTTACTTAAAAATATGCAATATTAAAAAAAATTCTATGAAAACCCTTTATTACATCCTCAACCAAAGTTATTACATCATTAATTGCATTGTCAAACATAAAAATTTTGAAAAATATCAACAATTAAAGAGTTTTGAATTATTTACAAATGTTTTCACTTGTATGTGTATGTGCATTTCGGGTTAGTAAGAGTGTCGAATAAAACAAGAATAAAACCCTTAGCGGTCCGTGCATTTTTGTACTACTGCCTACCAGCAACACCGGCACATTTTCGCAGCGGAACGAGCGAGAAGAAAGATTCTTATTTTAAGTTAGAAGAATTACACGTACTTGTGAATGTTTTTCATTTTATTTATTTTATACATATGCACTTTCTTCTTGTAAATGAACGATAAATTTTAAATTTTGCAATTCACTATTGTGTGATATCTTTGGAAACAATCTCCCATGTGCATTCTGGGTTTACTTGGGCAAGTGTCACAGTATTTACTTTTTTGACGTCTGCCATCTCTTTGTTTCCTTGTAGAGAAGACAACACAGTCCCTCTTTAGACCTTTCCTCATTATCAGTCGTCTCTTTGGTCGTATAATTTCGGAACCACTACTTGAAGTGTCACAATTATAAATAACATTGTCTTCCACAATGTCTTCTAATACTGGAAAATCAAACACATCTTGAGTATCACTCAACTCTATATTCTCATCATAATTATTATTTTTCTCCATGTTGCTGACCTTAAAATGGGCCAAAAAATTATTTAATCGTAACAGTAGAGAGACTGAGCACCCTTTAAGTAAAGATAACAATTGCCAACGCCGACAATTTCGTAACATCTTAGTCGTAGTCATGTTAAAAACATTGGGCTCCTCAGCGGAGCCTACGGAGTTACGATACAAATGAGTGATGGCTCCGGAGCCAACGGAGCGCTAAAGGTTAAAGACATTAATCATTATATTTGCTAAGGGCTTTTTGTTATTTAAAAAAGAATTTATTTTAAGTTATTCAAATATTTATGTATAAAAATGTCATTAGCTTATAGAATAAACCAGAATTCAATTATAAAGAAATTAAATTGGAGGACCACAGAAATTATTGTTATATTTTTTCTGTTTTTTAAATGTGGCTTTTTGTATTTATTACAAGAATTAACTAAAAGCGGTTTGGTTATTTACAAATGCATATTGATGAAAATTTTTCCATTAACAAAAGTTTGAAATGATTTGATTATTGAGTTAATATTAAAATTTAAATGAATAAAAAATGAAAAAAACTTTAATAAAAATTACTACCTATCTTTTAATTTTTAATTTTCTACCATTTCTTAAATCAGAATCGGTAAATCATTTATTTTTTAAAGCAACGTGGCACAGTTTTATGATTTCATTGAGACTTGAGACTGTACTTTATATGCACACACATGTATGTATAAAAAGTTCGGCAAAATAATTTTCTTAAAATGTTTCAATCTCTTCTTCAATTTCTTTTTACATAATTATGAAAATCTTTTTGACAAAACGATTTCCAAGGCCATTTACTCGTAATTATTTTTAAATCCAATCGAAATCATTTTTGTAAAAAGCCTTCATTTGTATACTGTTTTGTTATTCTATATTAAAAAACGAAAAGGAAAATTCAGTAAATGTTATTTTGGGAAAATTGTGATATGTAAATTTAACAATAAAAAAAATCTTTTGTATTTCTCTTTGAATTCCTTTTAAATTTTCATTTTCACCCACAGTTTTTTTTATTCCTTTTTGGTTTAAAAAAAAACTGGGATGAACAAAATACTCGATAAATATATGCGTTTATTTTAATTACAATTTGATTACATAATATAGGATTACATACATTCGGCATTGTAATTTTATGATTGAATTCAACAGTTAAAAGCTTTTAAAAGCCGAAAATTCGACGTAATTTTAACTGAAAAAAAAACAGAAAAAATAAAGTGGTAAAAAAGTAAATAACGCGCATATATTATGTAAATATGTAAATATAAATATATTATGAATACAATTACAAAGACGAATATTTTCACATTTTTAAAATTTTCACGTTTCCCCAGTACAATTCTGCAATTTCGAACTGTTTTTAATGAATTTTAAAAAATGATACCAAATTCTTTGAGTTAGGAATGAAGTTGATAAAATTATAAGTTAAATGGACGAATAAAACTGAAAAATAAAAGACCCTTCAATTGAGAAATAGAAAGTTTCCATTTCAATCACAAAAAATTATTTATCGGAAATTTATAGTAACCTTTCAGCTTTAAACACCCGTTGAAAGGGAGTTAACAACGCTATAATCAAAAAATTTAAATTTCTTTTTTCCATAATGTATTTGAAAATAATTTTGTTTCAGGCAGCAATTCGTTTGAGGCCGATTTTATTGTCATGTAGCAACGATTATGAAAAGAGAACCATTTTAAAACCATTTAAAATTATTTTAAATTGTTGATTTTAAAATTTACATAAACATGAAATAGTTTTTCATGTTTACAGGAGTAAAATCAGTAATCCCCACTTATAAATTTTATTAAAACAAAATTTATTGTACTCCTCAACTTCTCTGAAAAATAGGGCTAACAGTAAACATCTTTTAAATTTAATTTAACAGTTATGCTAGTGCCATTACATAAATTTTTAAATCAAGATTCGAGACTGATCAAAATTTTTAAATCAGGATTCGACATATTTATATCGCAAGTCACGATTTCTTAGCATTATAAATTAGGTAAGACAAATTTATAATACCCGTCAAACATATGTTGATGCTTGTGTAAAAATTAAAAGTTACTATAGGAAATTAAAAATAACTATATGACTAATAAAACATTTTTGTTGTGTTCATTACCACAAAATTTTAATCTTTTCTGAAATGCAGTACTTAATTATCAACCAAAATAAAATAAAAAAATCGAAATTTGATTGTTTTCTGTAAAATTAATTTCTGTAGCAGCCTATTTTTCTGACATGAAGTACAATTTTTTAATATTAAAAATTTTAATCACACACTTACAAATTAGCTAATAATGAACAAAAAATCGAAGTTGGATTAGTTTAAAATTGGGATAAATTAAGAAGTTGAGTGAGTTTAGTTTGAATACATGTATTTCGTCAAGCACAGTTATTACCCATTTTGTAAATTACACCTAATATAAAGCAAGTACACCACATTATACACTCAATTAAAATTTAATACTTCAATTCGGGTACTTTTTGACATGTTTTTCCTTTAAGGATAATATAAACTTGCGTATCTTAAACTGTATATATATATATACTATATATGTTTATGTAGGTACCTTTGAGAGGAAAAAGAAATTTTTGGTTTCAATTCATGGCGATTTTTGTTTTAATGTAGTTTGGTTTGCCTTTTTTTTTTTGGTTTTTTTTTTATTTTAATTCAGGTAAAGTGTTTTCAACATGAAAAAAACTATAAATCGTTATGCTTTTCCTGTGTTGCTTAAAAACAGAAAAAAGGAAAGGTAAATACTTACCACCGTTTAAGTATTGATCCCTTGGGGAACTTTATATTTTTGGCAAAGATGAAAAACGTGTCATTTTTTTGTAAAAAATCATTTCTCTTAAGTTTAATGCTGTTTTTTTCCCCTGTTTTGTTATAATTTTGGGGGATAGAGGTGAAAGCATTAAAAATCCAGACAAAGAGAAAACGTCGAAATTAAATCCCTACAGATGAAAGTTTGCTGTTGTAATGGAAGTACATTTAATTTGTCACGACGTCTGTAACATCAAGAAAAAGGCATTTTGGATTCTGTAAAATATGTGCATATATATCTACATTCTGGTTCAGAATCGAATTCTAAGTCCTTATTGCCATGCTCGTTTGTTGTTGAGGTGCTTATTCGAGAACGGAAAGGGCTAGATATTTAGCATAGACGTTAATTTTTATAATATGAATTACAAAAAGGATGGATAGCCTTCCACTAAGGGTAAATTTTTCCATACAAGGTTTTAATAATGACTTTAAAGAAAATCAACCAGTATGATAATGTCTTATACTGCTTAAAAGATCTAAAAAATTTATAAACTTTTTTTTCCACAGACATATTGAAAATGGGTCTTACAATATGTTAGCTCTGAGAAGATGACGAAAAGAGCTTTAAAATAGTTCATGTGTTCCGTTATTAAGACTATGTTACTTGTATATTTATTCTTTATTACTTATATAATTATATATTTTTCATAAACTTATTCTTGTGCAGATTTTATTAAAAAAAATACACGCGTTTCTCAAGGGGTCCAGTGGTAAACGATAAAAAATGTTCAAAAAATATTGTTTTTATGTTTTTTTTTTTGTTCAATCAAAAATTTAACTTTAAGAAGGTTTCAGTTTAACTTAAAAGGAAGAGTAAATTTTTTGTTTAATTTTTATTTACGCCTACAAAAACAATTTTTTTCTGCTGTTGTTTTCTTCTGCAATGAGCAATATTCTTTTTGTCAAAATAAGACCTAAAATGAAAAGTTTTCACAATAATAAAAGCATTATTGTGCAGGGTGTTTCAAGGAATAAGTGTCATAAAAGGAAATTTTATCTTAAAAATTTCTTCTTTCTTAATTTGGCTTCCTTCAGTCGCAGTCAACAACATTTATCATTCTTACAATTTTCCGGAAATGAACAAAAAAACGAATAATTTTTTGGAGGGACATTTTAATACTTTAAACTTGTGGTAGTTAAGATTATTCGTTAAAGTTGAAATAATTGATTTTACAAGGGAAAATGCCACTTTGTATAACTCAAGTTTTTTCATAAAGCAAAATATTTTTTTTTATTTTTAAATTTCAATAAAAAAAACCTTTATAAATAAGCTTTAATTTAGTTTAAAACAAAACAGTGTGGAAAACAAACTAAAAGGGTTTCATAAAATATTTACTGCTTATATTTTTACCCTTAGCAATAATTATAATTTTAAAAATTTTGTAAAATTTTCATATGCTATTTTTTTATGTTTAAAAAGGACTTCCTTTATATTGCACAAATTAATACTTTTCACTTAGTTTTTATTATTAGAAAGAATAATTTAAAAATAATTGTATGTCTTTTATATCAATACTTTACATACAAACATGTAAACGTATAGATATATGTGTACTTTTTTTGTTTGTTTCCTCGCCTTTTTAAATCATTTAGTGAACTAATAAGGTCAAGATCTCGAATTTATTTGAATTTGTCGTCTTAAAATGTATATATTCAAACTTTATTAACACGCCCCCAGAATAGACCCAATCAACTAAAAGCAAAAACCTCTTAATGTTTAAATCGCAATTTAAATGAAATGGTCTTGAAATAAAATCTAAATTCTACCAATTATTGAGACTGAGAGGAAGTTTCAATAAACTTCTGATTAACAAAGCTAACGCCGAATCCAAAGGCACTAAAAGAAATTGAGAACATGTTGTAGAATTTTTGCATTAAACAAAACAAAATCCATTTTACTTTTCGAATCACTTGTTGAATAATCTTTGGCTAATTTTTGACGGAAGCTCCAGATAACAGTAAAATTTTAAACTTAGTGTAACTTAAAAGTTAATATTTATTGGATGTCAGATTTAACTTCCACTTAGAATACCAAAAATAACGATTTTTTTTTAGCGGGAAAATCATATGAATTTTTTATTTGATAAATTCCACCTATTTAGGGCAATTTTTTATCACACAATTTTCGGAATGAACATAAGAAATTCTTAAATGAAGTTTTTAATATAAAGTTGTTTGTACATTAAATTTACAATGCTAATATAAATGTAATTTTATATGAAGTCAAAAGTATTGTCAAGAGTTACACAATATGTTTAATTAAATATTTAACGTCCGTTAATTCAACAAG